GGCGGGCACCTCCCCTGCACTGCCGAGGGCTCGGGCTCGCCCTGGCCCGCTCGGGGCCTGAGCGCCTCGGCGGGGCACCGGATTTTGTCCAAAGACGCGTTTCGGGTCAGCTCAGGGCACTGGACTTCCCTAGACTCCATCCACTACCTGGGGGAAGGGGGCAGTTTGGGTGCCGTTTCACACACTGGGCGCCACCCTGGCACCTTTTCATCCCCATGTCCCTGGAGGCGTGGCCCCAGCCATACGCCGAGCTGGGCCTCTGAGCCACTGGCCCTCTGGTAGGGGTATCCTCGGAAGACATCGTTCTGGGGCCTTGCCAGCCCCCGCCCAGCCGGTGCCAGAGAGCAGCGACGCCCCTGGCCTCCGGGCTGTCCATCACGTTCCACCCCTGCGGCGCACAGCTCAGGCTGGAGGGGGCGCCAGGAGCATGGGCGACAAGTTCCTGGGCTCAGCTAGGCTCCCAGCGGTGGCCACTCGCGCCAAGCTCAGAGGCTTCTTCCCTGCACCTTCTCCCGGAAAAGTCCTCAAAGCGTCCTTGGCCAACTGCATTCCCAGACCGAGGGAGGAAGGAGGGACAGGCCGGTGCGCCCGTGGTTCAGCAGAGTGACTGCGTTTGAAAGGCATTCATCTTGGGCTCCGGCAGCTGGGAAGGCCCAGAGAGGGATCCAGGCTTGCAGGAGGTAGCAGCTCCCTGAAGCTAGGGCCAGATCCTGGCCATCCCCCTGGGAGATCTACTTCCAGGGACATTGTCTATTCTTTTCCCCAGGCTCTCTCCAAATCCGCCCTCCTGCCCTGACCATTCTAGGGTGACCAGGAAGAAAGCTATAATTACCTAGAGAAAGTGGCAGGGCTACCCAGCCTCAGAAACTCCCAATAATCTGTCCAACTCTGACCATTCCTTCCCCCAACTCTGCCTTCCTTGGTCACTCCCCTCTCTTTCCACTCTCTCATTGCAACCTGGGTTGCAATCTCAAACTACTGCTCTCCTCCCTCTGACCATCTGACCTCCTTCTGCCCTCTGACCCCACTGGCCTAATTGGAATTGGGCTCACCTGGGTTCCATCTCACCATAACCTGAGCAAGGTACCCGCCTTCTCCAAGGCTCAGTTTTCTTGAGAGGTGATGAGGAATAAAGCTGTGCTTCTGAAAAAAAAAAATGAAAAAAAATAAAAATAAAGCTGTGTTTCTGGGAAGAGTTGTCTCTATAGTGGCCTCTCGGTTGTATCACCTCTGGCCCTCCTCCTGACATGCTAATTCTGCTCTTGGTCCCCCATCCCACTGAGCTTTCTCCATCCAAGGACGCTGATGACATTCACTTGTCAGACCCAGCCACTGGCTCCCTTCTGACTTCCTCTCTAGCTCCTTGATCTCCAGGAATCCCACCTCTCCTGGTTTTCCTCCTACCTCCAGAGCACCCCTTTCAGACTTCTGTTCACCTACATCCACAGGCTTCTTTCCTCTCTGGCTGCCATTGGGGTTGGCTAATGGGGAGAGGAGAGTGAGGTCAGCATGTTGATCCCATGTGTCCTCAGATGGACAACGTTGGCTGTGTCTCTCCACTGTAGGTAGCAGCTCTGCACAGCTTGATATCTCTCTCTCTCAATCTCTCTCTCTCTCTCTCTCTCTCTCTCCTCTCTTTCCCCCTCTCTCCAAGGCCAAGGCGTGGTATGAGCTCCTGGCTTCTAACCCAGGGTGTGAACAATGCCTTGATTGTCTCCCTGCACCTCTGTAAACCGACTCTATTAATTTCTCATCCATTACTCAGTTTGAGCGCACAATCTCTTTCCTGCTAGCACCGGGACCCTCACAAATCCCAATCTCATGCTTTAAACACCATCTCTCTGCTGTTGTCTCCCAAGTTTACAACTCTAGCTTTGCCGTTTCCCCAGGGTTTGGGATTTACAGCCAACAGTCTTCAGTCTAATAGACATGTCAAACTGAAGACATGTCAAACTGAACTCTTGGTTTCTTCCAACTCTACTCCTCCCTATGCATGGCAACGCACCCATTCCGATTCTCATGCCCAAACCTAGGTGTTATTTCTCTCTTTCCCTCAGCCACCCTTCCCCCTTCAATTCATCTGGATTGGATTGCTGTTGGATCTGTTGGCTCTGCCTTCAAAACATTCTGCATTTGTCCACTTCACTCTCATCCCAGCCACTTCACCTTCCTCCAATGGCTCTCCACCAAACTTAGAAGAAAAATTCAAGCTCCCTACCCCAGGCCAAAGGCTCTGCCCACTTCTCAGGTCTCATAACATTCTCTCCCTCGATCATGCATTTGTTCTAGCCTTGTGCTTCCCTGTATTGCCACCTCAGGGCCTTTGCACTTGTCTTTCCTTCTTCCTGGAATGACTCATTACATGGTTGGCTTCTACTATTTAAGTCTGGGCTCAAATGCCACTTCTTCAGACAAGTGGTCCCTGGTCATCTAGCCTATATCACAAACAGCCCTTCTGCATAACTCTACCCTGTTGTTCTCTGTAACTCACCCTGTATTGCAGTTATCAGCAATTGCCTTTATTCATTTGTTAATTGTATATTATCTATCTCCCCCCAATAGAAGGTGAGCCACGTTACTTTTTGGTTTGTCTTGCTCACCTCTATACCCAACACCCCATGCCTAGAACAGTGCTTAACACACAGCAGTTGCTTAAGAATTATTATTGCATGATACTTACTAGGCTTACATCAATGTTGGGAATAAGGAAATGAATCAGACTTGCACATTCGCTGTTGAGTTTGAAATTGAGAGACAGACACAATTATAAACAGTCGTGCCTCAGTGTGGAATCCAGGACAAGAGTACAAAGGAAAGCCTATATACTATACATCTAAATTATAACATTGTTAAGCTGGAAATAAGGGCCAACGTGAGAGGCAACAAGCATTTATTTGAGATCCAAAAGAATAGGTATTTGGGAAGCACTGATTCAGACAGAAACCCAACCAGTGTTCTGATTAGGAGACAAAGGCAAGGGAAATTTATGAGAAAGGGAAGGTGAACAATTCTAGCAACAAAAGGAATGCATTTCTATTGGTGCAGATGAGCTGACATAGTGATACTAATTCCAAACTATGTTTTAAATTTTCAGTCCTGTAGTCATTTGTTCAGTAGTCATATATCTGCTTTCTTGTTATCTTTGCAAACAGTTCCTTGGGGCACAATGTTGCTTTAGGCCCAGTCTGAGGGTTATTTTGTCCTGTTGGTTTTTTTCTTTTAATATATCTTTATTGATTTCAGAGAGGAAGGGAGAGCTAGAGATAGAAACATCAATGATGAGAGAGAATCATTGATCGGCTGCCTCCTGCTCGCCCCCTACTGGGGATTGAGCCGCAACCCAGGCATGTGCCCTTGACCAAAATCAAACCTGGGACCCTTCAGACCACAGGCTGACACTCTATCCCTGTGGTTCTCAACCTTCCTAATGCCGCGACCCTTTAATACAGTTCCTCATGTTGTGGTGACCCCCACCCATAAAATTATTTTCGTTGCTACTTCATAACTGTAATTTTGCTACTGTTATGAATCGTAATGTAAATATCTGATATGCAGGATGTATTTTCATTGTTACAAATTGAACATAATTAAAGCATAGTGATTAATCACAAAAACAATATGTAATTATATATGTGTTTTCCGATGGTCTTAGGCGACCCCTGTGAAAGGGTCGTTCAACCCCCAAAGGGGTCTCGACCCACAGGTTGAGAAACCGCTGCTCTATCTCCTGAACCAAATCAGCCAGGGCTTTTGCTCTGTTTTAACATTCCAAAGGTTTGAGGGGGAAAGACATGAAAGGCAGTTCCTTTAGGGTGGCAGCTCTGGCTCCATTTTAAAGTGGCTCCTTTTATATAATTGTTATTGTTGTTATTACACTTATAAAATCAAACTACAAGCACTTAAATGAAATATATTCTTGCCTCTGAACGGTGAGAACAACCCATATATCCATTAACACTGAATTGATAAATAAAATGTGGTCCATCCATACAGTGGAATATTATTCAGCCATAAAAAGGAATAAAGCACTTATTTATACTACAACATTGTGCTGAGTGAAAGAAGCCAAACACAAAAGGCCACATGTTATATGATTCCATGGATATAAAATTTCCAGGACAGGCAAATCCACAGAAACAGAAAGCAGGTTGGTGGTTGCCAGAGGCTGGGGAGAGAGAATGGGGAGTGACGGCTCAGGGGGGCAGGATTGCCTTTGGGGTGATGAAAAAGTCCTGGAATTTAGATAGTGGTAAAGGCTGCACAATATTGTGAATGGACTAAATGTCACTAATGAGAAATTTTATGTGTATTTTACCACAATTAAAAACCAATTTAAAAAATATGTTCTCTCTTCATCTCATGGCAAATATACTTTTAGAATGACCTAGAAGGCCAGGTTTAATGGACATTTTAAAAAATGAGTTATTCATTATGATAATCTACAAATAACTCTTAATAAAACTATTCCCTAAGTCTCTTTTGGATAAGGAATGCATGGTAATTATTTTTTACTCTTTGAAATGGTTGTATACAATACAAAATCATACCTTTTAATTTTCAGATAAAAATAAAACACTGACAATATTGAAGTAACTGAAAATATCCCTTCTTTGCCTTTAACAGATTAGGAATCTATTTCTTTTCTTTTTAAAAAAAATTTCTTTATTGATTAAGGTATTACATATGTGTCCTTATCCCCCCATTGCCCTCCCCCCCACTTTAATGGATATTTTGAATCCCTAGGAGTTTTGTACTAGAATATGGGGTACAGGGAAACCCC